TAAAAGATAATGAAAGGCTTAGAATGAAAACTCTACCTAATCACAGTTTCCCACAAGGCTATTTCCTAGCAAGGTTTTGGAATTTCCCCCCACAGCTGTCATGCCAAAATTCTGGCCGTGGTGGTGTATTATGGCTTTTTTTTTTTCTTAATCCAATAATATGGTTACACCATTAACCAGATAATAGTATGAACCAGAAATTGTGTCACTGGTATTTTTCTACAATACTCCTAAAGGCGTGGAGATGCTTTGAATTGCGGAACCGGTGCATGATAATTGGTTGTTGCAATCTTTATAAATGGTGGTGTGGGTTTTTGGTGTTTTTTTCTCCTATCTATACCTTCGGGGAGTTCTAAAGGTCGTACCTACTTTCTCTGTGTCTTTTTTTTTCCCAACACAGTATGTGCAAACAATTCTGATGAAAAAGTTGCTTATCTCTGTGGCCCAGGAACATGGTTGACTCCATTTCTTCAAGCTGTCTACCTCTTTGTACAGTACATAATTATGGTTAATCTCCTTATTGCATTTTTCAAGTAAGTATATGGATAATTGTTAATTTTTGCCAATCCTTTGATTAAGCTTCTATTTCACTGCAATAACATGACAAGATCAGAAGAACTGATGCTAGCTAAAAGCAATCCCATCTCCTGGAATTATTTTCAGGTTGTAAGGCTGGTCTTTGTCACTTCCTCACCGCAAGGCCGCGACTAAGTAGGGAAGTGTGTGATGTGACTGTTGTGTGTTGCATCTATGAGGGAATTGGAAATTTGAGAGAATTTGAAAATACTTTGTAATTTTGCTTTGTCAGAAAACAAGCAAAATTTTTTCTTCATCTGTATATTGTGGTTCCTAAATGAATTTAACGTTCTCTACTTGGTTGAGTTGAATTGTAGTAAACTGTCTTTTACAGTTCTCTGCAAGTGTTTGATTTATGGGAATGAAAAAGCTCACTCACACCGAAGAATGGCAGGCTGCAGAATTAACATGGCCTGACACAAAAATCTGGACTTAGTTAGAAATAATCTGTGTGTTTGTTGGGAAAATCTGAAATTTGATCTCGGTGTAATTTATTTGTGAGGAAAGGTACGGAGATGTTACCAGACGAGAGAATTTTTCAACCCTCTCCTTGCTTTGGATCATGGTGTTTTCTTGAACGTGTTTCCAACTTCCACTAAAATAATTTTCCAATAAAAGACAAGTATGTGTTTTTGTCTCTTACTTCAGAATTCAAGTTTGTTATCAAAGTGTTTAAAAGAACTCAGAAAACCCTTGAAAAAACCCACAGGCACCACCACCACCTCCCCCTTCACCAATGAAAAAACCACCCGGGTGCGTTAACGCGTTTCTCTTCCCTTTCAGCAACGTGTATTTACAAGTCAAGGCAATTTCAAACATTGTGTGGAAGTATCAACGCTATCATTTCATTATGGCCTACCATGAAAAACCTGTTCTGCCTCCACCACTGATTATTCTTAGCCACATGGCTTCGCTCTTCTGTTGTATATGTAAAAGAAGAAAGACAGACAAGACTTCAGATGGGCCAAGTATGTCAGAAAAGTGCTGTGTTCTTTATTATAAATGTATATTCTGAATACAGTCGAAGTAGGCCTTAATTTTCCATGTGTTTAAAATTGATGAAGACTCTAATTCTGTTCAAAGTCCCAGTGTATGAAGGATATAACACACAGCCCCTAGAAATCTCCAGTCAAACTAACTTACAACAACAGCAAACTAACAAAACCATGAGATTAGATTTCCTGTTAGTGTTAATGGGGGAAGATTGATTTTTTTCATTTTCTTCTGTCTGGAAAACTTGTGTTCTTATTGGAAATCCTTTGAAAACTTAAAAAGGGGTAGGGAAAAAAAACCAGAAGCGTTCCACAGATGATAAAATACAGTTAAGGAATCTAGCTTCTGCCTCAAAGAAAAAGGGATTGGTGGGCAGGAGCGTAAGGAATGTCAATGTTGTGCACAGATCCCCTTTTTATTTTTTTTTTTTTAATTTTCATGGAAATCTTTGACCTTGAACTTTTTTCTGGCAAGGAGAGAGGAAGGGTCCTTGTTGGCACTGTGGGGTTTTTTTGCTGTTGGCTTTGTTTGGTTTTTAACAACCTTTGTACAGCTGTGGCTATTGGTTTCCAGTACCAGTACTACCTCACTACATACGCACTTTCTTAACTATTTATTCTGTCTTTAGAACTCTTCCTGACGGAAGAAGATCAAAAGAAACTCCATGATTTTGAAGAGCTGTGTGTTGAGATGTATTTCAATGAAAAGGATGACAAATTTCATTCTGGAAGCGAGGAGAGGATTCGAGTCACATTTGAACGGTACAATATTTACTGATAACGTTTCTGGATAGAGAAGCGTAGAGCTTTTGCAGGGTTTTAAAATGTGCTTCAAGGGGGGTAGAATGCAGCTCAAGGAAAGTATTTATGCAAACTTTATCTGATGTCTTTCCATTGCTGTGCAGAAACTAATAATGTGGATGTTGCTTCCTGATCTGTAGCAGCACTCGGTAGGCTGAGGCAGTCGTATTATTTAGTTTCTCATGATGTTTTAATAAATTGATAACTTGGAAAAAGTGCTGTAGGTCCTGTATTGATGTGTAAGTGAATTCTGTGATTCAGAAGTACGTAAAGATGTATTGCAGAACAGACCAACACCACAGTGAACACCAACTTGAAATTTTGGAGGGTTTCCCCTTATTAAATGGGCAGGAAGGGTTGCAAAGATGTTTCTTTTGCCTATTGAGGAAAAATACCTTTCACAGCTACTTCATAATTTGATTTTTCTTAGGGTGGAACAAATGTGCATTCAGATAAAGGAAGTTGGTGATCGTGTCAACTACATAAAAAGGTCATTACAGTCTTTAGATTCACAGATTGGCCATCTCCAGGATCTCTCTGCCCTAACTGTGGATACTCTGAAAACACTGACTGCACAGAAGGCTTCGGAAGCTAGCAAGGTTCACAACGAAATCACGCGGGAATTGAGCATTTCAAAACATCTGGCACAAAACCTCATTGAGGATGGCTCTCTAAGATCTTCTGTGTGGAAAAAGCACAGCATTGGAAACGTCTTCGGTTCTTTTCCGCAAGGAGGCCTTGAAAGTAACAATGCTTTACTCTGCAACATTTCTATATGCGATGACAAGGAAGTCCAACATAAGACAATTGGTCAGGAGTTGGCTCCGGTTCCTCGAAGAGAAGAAACAAACTTTCCAGAGGCAGGTTCCTCAGGCAGTGCCTTATTTTCAAATGCTGTTTCCCCTCCAGAACTTCGCCAACGAATACAGGCCGCGGAGGTCTCAAAATCCATTAGTAAAAGTAAAAAACTAGGCAATTCATCCAACAGCATGCCACATGTAACATCCCCAACAGCTAAATTTTTTGTTAGCACTCCGTCTCGGCCCAGTTGCAAAAGTCAGCTGGAATCTTCAGCAAAGCACGAAGAGACTGTTTTCTCTAAGGCTACAGAAGGAGATAATAATGTAGAATTTGGTGCGTTTGTGGGTAAGTATAACCGAGTAGATTCTGAATGTCCTGAAGTCATTATTAGCTGCTCTTATCCTCTTGCTTCTGGCTCTGCTTGCCTTGCTTTCACCCAACCTTGTGTTGAAAATGGAGGATACGTTAATTGTGGTTTTATTCATGATGAGAGCGACACTAATGATAACTACAGCTGCAGAGTTGACAAATGTGATCACCAGTCCCCTGTCAACTTATCGAAGAACAACCCCAAAACGAAGTTCTCTTTGTCAACTGGCAACTTGACGTCAACAGTCAACTGTGGCGGCTCACATGGAAAATTGAATCTTAAAGATGAACTTGCCAAAAGTCTGCATGTCCATGCAATGGAACTACAAACCCAAGATTTATGTTCTAACATCCTTATGGGACTGCTTCATAAACTGTGGACCAAATCTAAGCCACAAGGTTTGACTTATCAAGAATTGTATAGTATTTTGGGTGTATTCCGGTTGCAGGTGACTTTATTCTACCATTTTGCTCTGCTTTTTTTTGCTTTTAACATCTCTAATTTCCCTATGTTGCTTGAATTTTTTTTTTAACTTCTATTATGATTTCTTTATAATTCTGTCACATAGACAATATTTTTCTGAAAAACATTAGCCAGTTTTTGAGTATAGCAGCTCTGTGCAACTAGCAGCTCTACGACTTGGTACGGGCGTTGTAGACGAACCTTTTGTGACTCGTTATAAAGCTCCTACCTTCTCATGGCGTAAATTTAAAAATATTGTCTATTTCTGGACGTGATTACGGAAGACTTCTTAGGCTGATGGAATCCTGGACAAATATCTGTGTGGTATCTGTGTCAGGCTGAGGAATCCTCCTATACTGTGTGTCTAAACACTGTTATAACTGGGATCTTCCACTGTTGGCTAGGCTAACGTAGCTTTGGAAGCTTCCAAAACGACTGCCAAAAGTCCTGTTATTAAATACAGCTTTATGCCTCCCCTCGGGTTTTGCTTAACAGTAAAAAGGTGCACCTTTTTGGTTAGTTACCTCTGTGTTTGAACGGTAAAACAGTGGCAGATTCATGGCAAAGCACAGGTGTGGGTTTACTAACTGACTTGTGTGAAGTCAATAATGCCCCACGTACGCGTAGCCGGTAGCAGAAGGTCGCAATCTGGGATGGTCAGGGTGCCTGCAGAGGTGTTGTCTTGCCCCAAGTTGTTCAGGGATGTCTCGGTGTTGGTTGAGGAGGTAAAAATTTAAGTCTTTAAACAAGAGATTCTGCTGCTGCTGGGCAACTTGGAATTCTACGAGTTACCTACACGCACTGGCATTTTTAGGTTTGTGTATGTGTAGGAAGAGTAGCTACGTGTTTGTGCGCTCACTAGCCATTCATTTATCACTTCCTCATGGTGTAAAAAAAACCAAAAAAAAGTAAAATTCCATAAGCAAGACTAAACAGAAATAATAGACAGTGATTGTATAACTCTTACCTAATCTTTAAATGTACTTCATCACTAATAACTTTGAATACTAACTATACTTATTTTACTGGAGCCAGATTTTTAGTGTACGGTCATCGTCAGCATTTAGAACATACTCTTCATTCCTACTGTCCACGGTTCGTAAAACGTCCGCTACGCTGCAGCTTTCTCTTGGGAAGCCAAGCAGGTTCTTTCATTCGTTATCAAGCCCCGTGCTTGGGAAAACTCTGCAAAGTGTTTCTTGTCTCTGGAAGGATGAAGGGTATATTGTAAAAGCTGCCTCGAGAAAACTGTCTGCTTTTCCTTCATTTGTCATACCTACGTGAAAATACTCATTCAGACTGCCCGCTCCCTTTTGCGCAAGGAGCAAAGGCTCGAGTAAAACTTAAAAATGGTGGTTTCACTCTTTGGAACGGTGGTAATCCGCGCCTTCATGTGGGAAAAGCAGCCGTTTCGTATTAATACTTACGCTGATTTTTCTTTTAGTGTGTTTGGCAAGTGTCCTCTCGTGCAAACAGGCTCGCAGACCTTAAATGGTTCGCAACCCTTTGCTGTGGTGATGCAAACGCTTGGCATGGTCGGAACGCTGAAGGTTGCCTTTGGTTTTGAATCCTCTTTTTCAATTCACTGTGTCAAAGGTCACAGAGACAGCATGGAGTTACAGCGGTTTAAGGAGGCAGCAAGCAGAATTAAAGAAAGAAGTGCTGATATTGAGGTAAGCAGGGAAGACTTCCTGTCAAACACCTCAATGGGGGTAATTTTTTTTAACTGTAACTTCACAGTATGCTTTGAAAAACTCTAAGAAAATATCATCAAAGAACTTGCAAAATGCAGCCTGGAAGGCTGTGTATCTGTTTCACGATTTAAAAACCCCACAACCCAGTGAAAACTCAGGGAACTGTAGCTACACATCAGGTACTGTTTCTTCATAATACGATACTAATGAAATACTAAACAGGATCTGAGGTTATGAAAGCTGAGGTAGCTACAGCTGTGCATCAAGATAAAACCATGTATCCCATAATTAGTGCTTAATGAGATCTTTGACACTCACAAATTCCAAGGTGAGCATTTAGGCAGATTTCAGGGATTTACGTGATAATTTATAGAGCAAGATGATAGTGTGTATGACTTTAAAAAGTGACAAAAAATTTTCTTTACTCTTCAAAGAAGAAAAGATCTGTCTGATAATTTTGTCATAAACTCAAATAATGTATAACTTTAAATTTTCCTAATAACAGAAATAATTAAATGGGAAGTGGTTAACTGTAACTTGGACAGGTTTTGTCCTCCAAGTGCTGTAGTACAGATAAAAAAGCTAGTTTTCTCACTATAGCTGCTAGGACAAGTTAGTAAATACAGGTTACTATTTGCAGTTACCCCTCATCCAGGGCAGAATCTGACTTGAGAATTGCATTATGACCATTTGCAATGTCAGTGCTCTGCTGAGTTGCTCCTTCTGGACCTTCTGATAAGTATCACATGTGAAGCGCTCTCTGTGTGTATTTTTGGGCATGGTTTTTTTATGGTAATAATGTTTACCATTTGCTTTGGTTATTTTAATAGGGGCAACAGGAAGACTTCAAAAAAGCTATATTGGAGGGCATAGAGACAACCAGACTTCAAGTAAGTAAAGGTTTCTGTTTATTAGAAATGACATTTTCACCAGGTACCCAATGTATTCTCTACAGCAAAGACTGGGAACTCGGTTTTCTTATATCATTACCTGTAAAAAAAACCCTGGTCATGATTTTAAAAAAGGAAACCCAAGAAAGTTGTAGAGCTGAACCTTTGTACAAGTACAGCTGGATGTCTGCTTGACGTAGCTCGAAGTCATTCCAGTGTTTGGGTGTACTGTTGGGATGCAAACTCCAGTAGCATTTCCAGACAGTACCGCTCTT